TTAATTTTCCCTGAGTTTTGCCAAGGTGACGATCCAACCCTGTCACTGAGATTCCTGTCAAATTCCAGCGTCATTCTTGTGCTGGATTGTACAAAATCTGTGTTTTCCAGGTATTTTCCAGGGTATTTTCCATCCTGGAGTAACAGTCCAATATCCCATAAATATATATTCCAATATCCCATCAATTAATTAATGATTCTTCACCTGCAGCCTCCAATCAAAACCAGTTCCTGATCAGCCACTCATTAAACCACTCATTAAATATTCAGAATAGATTATTTTTATTAATATTTTATAGTATTGCAATAATTAATATTAAGGGATCCAACTGAAATGTTTGGACAATGGCACCTGCTGGGATTTTTTGGGATTATCCTGCGAAGAACCAGGAATTGCTTGATCCCTGTGGATCCTTCCCAACTCAGGATATTCTAGGATTCCACGGAGAGGACATGATAGGATTTGGGAATATTTTGAATGGGAATTGTGTGGAATTTCCAATTTATAATCAATATTGAAGAGGTTTTCCCAGTTAAAAATATGAACAGGGAAGAGTTGGTGTAGGAATTCACAATTCTCCCAATTCCATCTGGGAATTGTTACAAAATTCAGGGAAAATTTTAGGTTGGAAAAGATTTTAAATCTCATTGATGAATCTGGTTTCAGGCATGGGGATATTCCCTGGATTTTCCCTGTCTCAAAACCAAGCAAGGAATTCATTTATTCCATTTAATCTGACAGGATAGTGGAATCCTGGAATGGTTTGGGATGGATGGGAGCTTAAAAATCATCAATTCCCACCTCTTCCCACTATTCCCACCCTCTCCCACCATCCCAGGTTTCTCCAAGCCCTGTCCAGCCTGGCCTTGGACATTCCAGGGATGGAGCAGCCACAACTTCTCTGGGAATCTGTGCCAGGGAACAATTCCTTCCCTAACAGGATAGCTCACAGACTTTTCCATGGAACCCACAGAATTCCCAGACTGTAGAAGTATTCCAGGTTTTTCAGCCTCCGTAGGTTTAGAGCTGAGTTCCCTCGGGATCTGCTGACTCCAAAATTCCAGGTTTTCCCGTAACAAAGTGAGAGTAAATAAGGAAATGTAAGGATTTATCCACAAATTGTTTCTCAGGATTGTGTTTCCTGCACCAGATCCATGGAATTCTCCCATTTTTTCTTTAGGAAGCAGATCTTATCCGGGATATCCGGGATCTTCTGAAAAGAACCATCATCCAAGCTACCACCCAGATAAGGTAAAACATTTCCCAGGATCCTTCAGCCAAGCAATTCCCGGGATAAAGGTGGATGCAGATCTCAGGATCTGTGGGAATTCCATTTAAACTCTGGATTTTTAGGTAGATTTTGATTTTCCTGCTTTCCAGAACTATGTTGGATTTGTTTTCCAACACTAAATTCCATAAAAAATATGCTGTAAAAATATTTATTTATTATTTCCTGCTACAAAAAGATTATCTGGATATCTCCTTGGGAATATCTTTGTATTATTAAATGGATTTTTGGGATCAAAAGAGCTTCCCAAGAGGAATCTTTTTTTGCCACCAGATGTCAGTGTGAACTTTAAATCCAGAATTTCTGTGCCAGGCCAGGTGTTCTGTTCTACCTGGTCAAAGAAATATCGGTGTTTAAAAAATGGCTGTAAATGCCAATTAATACAAAGTAGCTCTGTTATATTAATTACAGCATGAGAGGAACCTAATGAGTTTAATTTTGGGGTTTTAATTATTTTAAGATCATTTTAGCCCCATTTTTGCCCCATTTTAATCCCACTTTTTCCTCATGTTAGCCCCATTTTAATCCCATTTTTGTCCCATTTTAGTCTTTTTTTCCCCCCATTTTAATCCCATTTTTGCCCCATTTTAGTGTAATTTTAATCCCATTTTTGCCCCATTTTAGTCTCATTTTTGCCGTGTTTAACCCCATTGTATTCCCATTTTCCAGGAGAATTCCCAATTCCT